AAAATCTTATGCTATATATATATATATTCACCGTCTCTTCCAATGCTAGCAATCTCATGTTGCTGCCCCTTAAGGCAAAAGGAAGGAAAGACAGGTTTGACCCCTAAAGTTCAAGTAGTAGTTTCGAACACCAATCAGAGTCCTAACTTTAAAACAAACTTTAAACTAGTTTGACAAAGATTATATACACAATATGACATTTGAACAAAATGTTCGAGTCTAATCTAAAGTCTTAATACCATGTTCAAACTGGATCCAAATCATATTTGAACATGATTGAAACACATGATTTGGGTTCAAATAAGATTTATTTCTTTTGTACAAAATATTATTGGTTTGAATCGTATCTTCAAATCAAGAGTTCAAATATTAACTTCAAAACTTGTTTCAAACATTAACTTCAAAACTTGGTTCAAACTTCCATATTATGGCTTCTAACAAAATATTATGGTTCAAATATTAACTTCAAAAGACTAGCTCTTGTTTTGAACCTCGAATATTAGCTTCAGAATAGAGATTCGAAGCTGGTTTCAAACTAAGATCAAATTGGAGGATCGAACCTGGTAATGACTCATAATATATGGTTCAAACTCAACCATCTTACATGAACTTAGCATAAATTTCATTTTGCTTTGTTGATTATACCGATTGTCGAACTTATTATTCCTACGGATAGACATTATATATTAAGTCATATACAAAATTGGGGGGGGTTGATAGAAAAAGTTATGAAATAGCTTGAAAGCTATTCTCAATTTGAGAAGGCCACGTAATTCTCTTCCAAGTGTTTTTCAATTTTTCTACATATAATTCTCTAGGGATTTAACACATCAGCTTCTTCTTAAGAAGACGCGTGATACACAGAATTGAGGTAAAAAGGCAAGATTTGAAGTTTTTTGATTAAACCTGGCAATTAAATTGATTTTTGGATCAAATCTAGCAAGCTTCTCTTTCATATATTAATCCAATAAGTCATGATTGATTTTCCAAAGATCTTTGCCTCTAACATACAGAGAACAAATGTGTCTGATACATGACTCCAAATCTCAAACATATATGGCAGCCAACTTATTAGCTCATAAGCTTAACGAACATTTTTAGGAGCACAACGAATGCAACAAATATATTTCCCTGATTTCTTAACCATAAATTCAATTGCATGCCAATGTACTTTCTTCTTCAAATCAACTTTACTCTCAAAAAGTTGCCAACTTTTATGTATATCAAAGCAAGTCTCGAATATGAGTTCATCATATCAATAGACATAAAATTAGTACGTAAAAGATTAATGCTTCTACTATACAAGTTATCCAAATATTTCATGTATCATTAATTATTGTTTGCAGCCCCAAGACACATGAAGAATATAAGGTTTCACTCATTTACTAATTTTACCTACATCACATAAGAATATTGTAATATTTAATAGTTTTAATAAGAAAGAATCAATATAATCAGCACTCTCTTCATCATGCTTGTCGTCAACCTCACATTCGTCTACCTATTAAATCAACAAATGTTGCATCAATAGCAGGTGGTAGGCCAACTGGCCTTGCATCATACTTATTCAGCATCGCTTACTCTATTCATTAAGGACTTGATTTCTCATAATCTGTAACTAAATTATTTTTTTACCATTGTTAACATGCATTGAATATATATAGAAATTTCATTAAAAAAATGCTAGATAATATTCTATAACAAAATATGTTTGAAGAATTGATATAAGTTATACTGCCAAAATGATACACAACATCCAGCTTCAAATTAATTTGGTTCTTATAAATCTTTGTAACTATGTATAAAAGATCATTGAAACAACTGTGTATAAAAGATCATTGAGACAATCGTTTGTTATGGTTTTCAATAAACATCCAACTTAAGTTTCCGTTTTCTACTCTCCTCTATACAAAAATATTGATGCTTAATTCATACGTAGAAAAAATGCTCTAAATATTAACAAAGCCAAGCTTAATATTTGTTTTGAAAAAGGTTCAAACCAAATCAAAATCTTCTTTGAATCAAGTTCACACAACAATCAAACCAATTTCAAAACCTACAAAAAAATCGTAGACTAAGGTCAAAACCTGCTTTGGATAGTATTCAAACCCGTTTTAACTCTTCCTTGTACCATAGTTCAAATCTATTTAAACCCTCTATACCAAATTTTATATTTGTATTTCTATCATAATAACCTCATTTTCACTAAAATCTTCTTCTACAACCAACAAAAATTATTAAAACTACTTAATTATAAGCCTATAATATTTTAAAATTAAGAATATATGCCCATAGGTGTCAATTTTTTATCGATCTATTTCGTCAAAACTTCATAACCATTTTCGTGCATTTTTCACCATAATGTAAGAAGAAATGATAGAGAAAGAATGAAGAAATCACATAAAGAGAGAAGGAAATGTAGAGATTTATATATAGGAGCTAGAATCAATGGCCCTCTATATTTTAAGTTGGAGATGGTTTGATAGGGATATATGCTTACTATGCTTTTAAGGGCATTTAAGTTCAAAAATTACTTGGGGTGATATTTCACCAAATAAAAATAAAAAGGAATAATAATCCAAATAAGTGCATTATGAGGGATAAAAAGTCAAATGTCTCCACACAGTTTTCTATGTTACTATTACCATGTTTATGTAAGAAAAGAATACTCAATAATCAACATTTAATGATAGAAAAATATCAATAATAACAATAACAAGTCTTTATCCCACTAAGTGAGGTCGGCTACATAAATCATATTTCTCCATTATGTCCTATTGAGTGACATATTTTCATTTAATTATAACAAATTAATATCATTTTCTATACAACAATCCCAAGCCTTTTTATGTCTACCTCCACCGTTCTTAAAATAAGTCAAATATGAAATATCCACTCTCCTAATTGGGTCATCATATGGTCGACGTTTAATGTGACTAAACCATCTATGATGACTCTCTCTAATCATATCTGGCACCGGAGCTACTCCAACCCTTTCACGGATATATTTGTTTCGCATTGTTCTCATCTTAGCAACACTTAACTTTATGCTTCTCATTTGCATGTGAACATCCTGTGCCATAAAACATAGTAGACCTCACCATTATCTTACAAAATTTTTCTTTAATTATCACACAATAGGCTCGATACATTCCTCCAATTCAACCATCCAAAACATCTCCATCTACATCATCATCACTTTGAATAATAAACTTGAGATATCTTGAACATTCATTCTTTTTAATGACTCAATCACATATTACTACAACCTCACCACTATATCTACTACTACTAAAATTAAATTCCATGTATTCAAATTTAAATCTACACAAACAAAAGTCTTCAGATTCTAAAGTTGACCTTCCAATTTAAGTTTTTCTCAACTCTCTCTCTCTAATCTTATCCACAAAAAGGATATCAACAACAAAAAACATACATCAAGTTAAATACTTCTAAAAATGCCTAGTATGAATATTCATAACTAAAGCAAAATGATACGGACTTAAAGCCAATCCCAGATGTAATCCAATTGAAATAGGAAAATACTCTGTTAATTCTCCTAATGTTCAAACACGAGTAACGGTTCTAGCATACATATTTTTAATGACTTCAATATAAGCAATATCTTCCAAAACTCTCCAAAGTACTTCGCTTAGGACCTTATCATAAGCTTTTTCTAAATCAACAAAAAACTTATATAAATCATTCTTACACTCTCAATACTTCTTCATCAAATATCTCCATAAATGTATAGCTTCTATATTAGACTTGCCCGATATGAATCCAAACTGATTTGAGAAATTTTTGTATCACAATGTATTCTATATTCAAGTTGGAATCAACAGACTTTTTTTTTCACATATCAAACATCTTTTAGTTTCTGAAATAATATTAACAGTTTAAAAAGACATTAAATTTATAGATCTCTTAAACATTTCCACATTACAATTGAAATATCAACAGACCCTACTACTTCACACCTTTCTTTTTAAAGCAACCTCAACTTCCATTTTACTAATGCACTAATAGAAATAAAATTTTTTGCAACTATTTATGATATTAAGATCATTGAAGTCAATCATATTTTCACAATCTTCATTAAAACGTTAATCAAAATATCCCTCCCCTATGTTCATATCCTAATTTACGAAAATTACATTTTAATTTTTATCTTTAATACAATTTATTTAGCTACACTTTTTTTCTTCTTTGCTAGGCTAATTTATGCATATATCTATTACTTTTTTTAAGTATCTAATTTATTATAAACAACAACAAGAACAACAAACCTTTATCCCACTAAGTGGGGTAAATCTTTATCCCACTAAGTGGGGTCAACTACATGAATCTTTTTTCCCTATTGCGTCCTATTGAGTGTCAAATTTTCATTTAATTCTAATAAATTAAGATTATTTTTTATACAATATGCCCAAGACTTTCAAGGTTGACCTCTGTCGTTCCTAACATAAGTCAAATCTAAAACATCTGCTCTCCTAACTAGATAAGTAAATGGTTGATGTTTAGTGTGACCAAACCATCTAAGACGAACTCTCTCTAGTTTTGTCCGCCACTAGAGCTACAACAACCTTATCACAGATATATTTGTTATTGCATTTCATCTCTAAGTGTAAAGCCACTCATTCACTTGAGCATTCTCATCTTGGCAACACTTAATTCTATTCTTCTCTTTTAAAGTTTTAAAGGCCAACATTCAGCTACATTCAGCTCCATAAAGCATTGTAGGTCTCACCACCATCTTATAAGATTTTCCTTTCAGCATAAGCGGTACTTTTTTATCACACAATAGAACCTAAGCATTCCTCCACTTCAACCAATCAGCTTGAATTCTATTAATAACATCCCCATCTATATCACCATTACTTTGAGCAACAGATTCGCGATATCTAGTGATCACTAAAAATAGAATTTTTAGCATCACAAATTATTTTCTTAAACTACCTATGAGTTTCTTAATATTTTTCCCAAATATATAAGTTTTTATATCTAAAACAATTTTTATAATAAAACTTCTTTTTTTTATCTTTTTTTAGACATTCTTATTCCGCCACTAACTATTTTTATTCATACGAGTGTTTTGCTATTGATTCTACAAAAAGAACTTTTGCAACTGACTTAATGGTACTCGTTACTCAATCCCACATATTATTAACATCTTCATGAACATCTCAAATCTTAAGATCTTGAAATTTACTCATAAAATTAATTTTATTTGTCTTTTAAGTGCCCCGTTTAATTTTATAACAATAATTTTTTTTTCATCTTCCAAGCCTTCATTTTAAAATTCAAAACTAAAAAATTAACATTGGGTACTTAAACTTTTATTAGAAATGGTCTTACAATCTTCATAATCTCGATGATCTATTTTTCTTATAAGAAAATAATCAATTTGTGTATTATTATTTTCATTCTTACAAGTGATAATATGTTGTTCTCTTTTCCAAAATAAAATAATAGCAATAATAAAGTTAAAATAAAATCACCACTGCTGAATACTTCTAAAATTTTATGCTACCGTACCAACATGTACAATTAAATATTTTCAAAATTTTTTTTTTTTCTTCAAGAAGTATTCTTCATCTTAATTCTTATAGGTTATGCAAAATTTTTAATATATATACACAAACTTATTTGAGGAGCATAACCACTTATAATAAAAATCTTAATATCAATAATAATCTTTAGAGATATAATTCTATATCCAATTTTATTAATTTTTACAATATTATCTTTAAAATTCTTATCTATAATTATATCTACATCATTTCTATTATGATTTCTACCTGAATACCAAAATTTAAAACTTAAATTATCAATCTTCTTAACTCTCTCCAACACATTTAGTTTCTTAAATACATCAAATATTTATCTTCCTATGAACCATAATAACTATTAATTCCATTAAGTTATCTGTGAGAATAACTATATTCCAAGTTCCTATCCTAAAATATTAATTTTATTATGGAGAAATAACCTAAAATAAAATTTTATGGAACCACATCTCCTTTCATAGAAAAGCATAAGAATCTACCATAGGATTGGCAACTTTAACTTGCATAAATTTGTATAAGAGTTATGACATTTTTACACATGCTCTAAAATTTCCATTTAATTTCAATACTATTATATTGAAATTTAAGTACTTATTTCATTATATAAACTAATCGTTAGGAAAACTCAATATGACTCCAAAGGCAAGCTTCCGCATTAATTTTGCATGGAAAATAAATACAAATTGTCATTGTGTGCTCCAAATAATTCCGCCCAACCCTTATAGTAAAATTTTAATGGTTCAATACTGAAATTTGAAAAAAAAAAAATATTGGATATCACATAAAAACTACCAAGAGAAGTCAGAATACTTTGTCAGAACATAAAAATCTTTGCATATGAGGTCATTTGCGCAAGCGCAAGACTAATGTTGGGGATGCCAATTAAACCTCACAATGAAAGAAATTTGAACCGCAGGAGAATCATAATTTCAACGAACCAACAATGTGAGTCTCGATCATATATATATATATATATATATATATATATATGTCAAGTGTCAAGGTTCTAGTGGTCATCAAAGATGAAGAGGTCATCAAGTAGCCAAGGCTGTTAAAAACCCCAGTTGGTGGGGATCAGTCTTAATATTGTCATTTCCACCATGAAATAGAGCATGCAACAGAGAGAAGTTTTCACCTAAAAAAAGAAATTGAACATCTAATACGTCATGATCACCGGGGCCGCTACTTACAAGAACGATGTAAGTAAAATTAAAAGAAAATTATAAGAGAAGTTTTCACCTAAAAAAAGAAATTGAACATCTGATACGTCATGATCACCGGGGCAGCTACTTACAAGAACGATGTGAGTAAAATTAAAAGAAAATTATAGAGATTATCGAATGATATGAACAACTACAAATTATCTTGTTTATTTGAGTAAGATTTTTTGTTTTTATCATAGCATATAAGTTTCTAATTTTATTTCTATCTAGATTTTTTCTATTGCTTTAAAAATCTGCTCTTTAGTGAAATTATTTTATCAATGAAGTTTTCTTTATTCTATCAGAAAATATTTTGTGTAAAAAAAACCCTTAAGAACAAATGACAGACAATGTCTCTATCAATTCACCTAGAGGACGAACGTAGGAGATAAGTCTCGATAGAAAGATAGTAGTGGATACATACTCACTAGAAAGTCCCCTTCAGGACAAGTGACACCAATGTATCCACTCATACCCCTGAAAGTCAAGCCCAAGAGGCAAGACTCGATAGAAAGCTAGTAATGAACAAGATCTCACTAGAAAGACACTATGACAGCAACTTGTTGACAATGTCTCCACTCAAAGACCTCAGAAGACTGCAAGTCCCAGATTTGGCAAAATAGTTGTGCATTAGTGCTCCCAACTGTAATAATTATTTTAGTTTTTCTTCTTGTATATCGCATGCTATAATGTTCTGGCTTCACATGCTTATTATGATTCTTGTGAGGGTCGTCCATAAGACCATAACAAAGCTAGTGAGGATTAGCCTAGAGCCTGTAAAAAAGGGCAATATCAATGGGCCTTGAAGCTAGGAAAATACGAGAGAGTTTCCTCTCTAAACCAAAAGAGACCAATGGGCCTTGGAATAGCTTTGGCCTTCACAGTCTGCAAAGGTGATTGGTAGACATCCTCCCTATGGACCACTTGGAGGGCACTTAACAAAAAGCCAAAGAACCATAAATTTTGTGTATCTTGTGTGGTGGAATTGATTGGATTGACATTTCTCTCTTAATCATGTATTTCATGTTTAACGCCACACCACTACTAGATCTGAATCAGTTTTCATTTGCATTCTATTAGTCATTCAATTTTATCAAAAAAATTATTTGGGCATGGACTCAGGGACAATAGAGGGCACATCCATTGCAAAATTTTACCTTGGCCATGTTGAAAAGCGAATATTATGATGGCCTGGGATAGAATTCTACCAAATATTGAAAGCTAAATATCATGAAATTCATAACTAAGTCATCATGTTCTTAACATAATCTCTATTACTTGCCCTCAGCTTACGATGGTCCAAAAAATAGAATCTTTATCATTAAAAACTAGTAAAAGATTTTACTTTATTATAATTTTTAGGATATTTAGACAAACTGATGAAAGATTGTTATCTATGATGCATCAATAATCTATGCTATTAAAAAGTGCAATGTCAATTACATATAAACACTTGCATTTTCAAGAGATGAGCCTGAGATGTGTCAGACACACCATCAACATGTCCAATTAAGAAAATAAAAAAATTAACAAGCATGGGTCCGCTACATTCTGAATAATAAAGTTTAATTTTAAATTAAGTTATATAAATAACTTAAGTTGTTTCTTCTCTTTCATTTAAAATTAAATTATTTAAATAACTTAAATGCAGTTTAACAAAAAAAAAAAAATCATGTACTGCTTAGTTTTTCTATATTTTTTATAATATTTATTTTGATTTCCTTTATAAGAGAATAGATTTTTTGAACTTCAAATTAATAATCTATACTATCATGTAACTATCACTTTTTCAATTGAGTTTGAGGTATTTGCTGAATTTAAATTTGTCACATTTTATGAACAAAAAAAATAAATTTACAGTTATTTTAATTCATTTTATATTTATTTTATCAATCAAATTACTATAAAATTTTTCTAGCATTTAAGAAATAATATCATAATGTGTATCTAATTCATGTTCATGGTCGATCTTTTCAATAATGTTTATGCCATGTTGCTGCATCGTAAATTATTATCCACAAGACTTCTAGAAATCGTTGAAATTCTTTCAGGATATTTTTGCCACCAAATTTTCAAGAAAAAAAAAAGATAGAAGTCAATATTTAAACAGCAAATGAAATGAAACATATAAAAGCATAATATAATTAAATGACACAGTGGACTGTTTCAATTAATTAGATGGCATGCAAATAGGATGATAAAATAATCACTTAATTTGACAAGACCAACATAGGAAAGTCATGATTTTAGATTCACAGCAGAAATAACTAGATAACTATTTAGGCATCATATTCAGAAAGAAAGGAATTCTATGATAGTCATAGTATTTTGACCATACCCATTCAACCAAGCTCTCATCCCCCAAAGGTTGACCGGCATCAACAGGCTTCCGTCCGGTTATAAGTTCTAGTAGAACAACACCAAAGGAGAACACATCAGATCTGTCAGTCAACTTTCCACTTGATGCATACTCTGGGGCCAGGTATCTGAAATCGATTATGCACATAAATCATTATTGGTTCCTATACAAGATGTTTGTAAAAAACAAAAAACAGTATAAGTTGCATAAAACCAAGTTCTTGATAACAAGTAGACTTTTAGGTCAATAATAAATATTGAGTGTGGTAGAGATAAAATTTTTAAAAACATAAATACAAAAAAAATGGTTCTATGAGTATCATCTATTGTGCAGAAATGTCTATATGAATCAAAAAAATAAACCCAAGTGGTTTGGTTTTGCAAAATGGAGAACAAAGCATGCACCATAAAAGAGAAGAAGAGTCAATTAATGTGAATGCAAAAGAAAATGGTACACCAGTGATAATATAATAAAAATTGTAAGAAAAGAACTTAAGAATTTAGAGCTAACAATAGATGGAAAGCGAAACATTATAGGAGGCTAAAAAATGGGCTCATATAGTTGATTGTTAATATTTTAAATAAAAATTGATATTCGATGATTTCATTTAAGCATGTCACTAGAAAATTAGTAACTTAAAGCAGTCTAGCAGCTTTCAATTTCTAGATTGCCAAAAAACATCCAGAGAAAAAGAAGAAAAAAATTCATAACCAACCCAAAGGTCCCCATAACACGAGTTGATACATGTGTATGAGTATCATTTGTAAGTTTTGCAAGACCAAAATCAGCAACCTGCAATTACCATCTCATAAATCAACAACTAAAATCGGATGATAAAAGGAGAATAATCAACAACAACAAATTTAGTTTACATGCCTGTGCTTCCCAATCATTATCTACAAGAATGTTTGCTGATTTAATGTCCCTATGGATGATCCGAGGGTGACCTGCAGAGATACACAAGCTTAGAAAAAAATGAGACAATAAGAAATGATAAAACTTTTTAATGGGCGTACAATCTTCATGCAAGTATGCCAACCCTTTCGCTGAACCAATTGCAATCCTTAGCCTTTTTGGCCAGTCCATAACAGGCAGCCCATCACCTGATTAGTTGGCATTAAGTTCATCTCAATCCATGAGCGCATAAAGTATTTTGTTTTGCACATCATCAATTAATGCAGAACACAGAATTAAGAATGTTACCATGTAAATGATATTCTAGAGTTTTATTCGGAACAAATTCATAAACAAGCAACCGTTGTGTTTCAGATATGCTATACCCCACGAGAGACACCAAATGACGATGGTGAACACGGCTGATAATCTCAACCTCAGCTCTAAATTCCCTCTCTCCCTGACCACTGCCTGCTTTGAGTTGTTTCACTGCAACTCGTTTTCCATCAGGGAGGGTTCCCTTGTACACACATCCAAAACCACCTTCACCAATGAGATTTTCATGAGAAAACCCATTTGTTATGCTCATTAGCTCTTCATAGCTGAACCATGACTTACTGCCAGATGGGTCTGGCCCCGAGTAATAGCCTTGGCTTCGCTGACTGCCATTTATGACAGCAGAGGAATTAGATAATCTTGGTAGAGCTCCATAATGTTGATCCGAAAAGCTGGAACTCGCCATGGGGTTTCCATTTCTATGGTAATAATTATCTGCAATAACAAAATGCATATCGTTATCATCACTAAAAAAGTTTGTTTCCTCGGAAAACATAGCTCCTTGTAGAGAATTCAAAAAGGATTAATTTATCCCTTCCTTATATGATCCGCATTTCTATTTTTGCTCCTTTCAAACCCAACTATCAATATCTTCCTCATAGGCTTAGAAACAATACACTAGTGAGGTTTTCTATGAACCATTCAAGAACATTTAGCAAGTAGAGCAACTAGCCTTTGGATTCAAAATTCAAGCGTCCTAAGAAAGTAAGACAATCTAAATCAAAAATGACTACAATGTTAATCTGCTACCTGACTTGAAGGAAAAGTCAGGCGGTTGCCGGTATCGACCAACCAAAGCATCCATTCTTTTCTTCTTCCTTCTTGCGATCACAAAGAAAATAGCTATCAATGTAATTGCCACTCCAACTAGGACCAAACTAACAACAGCTCCAGTAGAACGACCTTCTCTGTCAAAAGAAACTTTGGATGATCCTGAAGAAGGAGGACTCAAACGGGCGGTGCTTTGAGTTGATCTTTCATCCAAAGAAAAGGAACCAGAGGGTGCTGTTGGGGAGTCATCTGCAGATTTTTGTGAAGAGTCAGACTGGGATGGTTTTGACAGTGATTCCTCTTCATCTGCAGGAGGAGACTCATCAGCTTTCTGGTTGTCCTGTGAAGTTGGCGATGGCGGAGATGAGGAAGAGGATGAATCATCAGAAGAAACAGACTTTGGAGGTGAAGGAGTTGACCCAGACTTAGATGAAGCAGGAGGAGAGGAACCTCCACCTGAAGATTTGCTCTGTGAAGTAGAATCAGATTTACTAGAGCTTGGAGATGAAGGCGGGGGTATTAATGATGGAGGAAATGGTGAAGAAGATGATGAATTAGAAGGTCCTGGAGGTGAAGGTGGGGGTATTAATGATGGAGGAGATGCTGAAGAAGATGATGAATCAGAAGTTCCTGGAGGTGAAGGCGGGGGTATTAATGATGGAGGAGGTGGTGAAGAAGATGATGAATTAGAAGTTCCTACAGGTGAAGGTGGGGGTGTTAATGGAGGTGGTGGTGATGAAGATGATGAATCAGAAGTTCCCGGAGGTGAAGGTGGGGGTATTAATGATTGAGGAGGAGGAGGTGGTGAAGAAGACGATGAATCAGAAGTTCCTGGGGATAATGGCGGTGATATTAATGATGGAGGAGGTGGTGAAGAAGATGTTGAATTAGAACTTCCTGGAGTTGAGGAGTGGCTAGAGTTTGACGATGGAGGCGATGTGCTAGATTCTGATGACGGTGGTGGGGTCAAGCTAGACTCTGATGAAGGCGGTGAAGAGCTAGAGACTGGTGGAGGTGGCGAAGAGCTAGAACCTTGAGATGGAGGCGTTGACAACGCCTCCGACGAAGGAGGTGATGAATCGGCTGAGCCCTCATTGTCCGAAAAAGATGAGCTTTTAGCAGAAGGCGGAGCATCAGCTTCAGACATTTCAAACACTTTTCTTATCCCTTTGTCCCTTTGTTAATCTCAATTAATCATGGGACATCTTCAACACAATAAATACAAAAGGGAAATTTATTATAACTAGGGTTTAGGGTTTAGGGTTTCTGCCGCAGAAATCAATTTCCCCTAAACGATAAGAAAAATCCTTGCCTCCATACTTTGAAACTAGATCTTCCCAGGAGACAAAGCCTATAGACGCTATACTAATCCAAACAAACCCTAGAATGTGGTTGTTTTGTTTAGTAGTTGGAAGAAATGAGAATGTGCAATACTCTGTTTCTCCACCACGCCTGCATTATGTTTCGAGCTGTATCCTTTCGTTTATTCTTCATCATCCTCCTTTGCCGGTAGTGACGGAGCGATCATTCCGGGATTACGCCTCCGCGTCCAGCGAAAGTTGAGGAAAGGAGGTCTCCCAAAATAGATGGACCGCAGGAGGGATGTTGCTGCCATGAGCAAGCTTCTCAGAATAGGAAAGAAGCACATCCAGAGTCCAGAAATGGCGCTCAACCGCTAGAAGATAACAGATCGATTCCGCCATTCCAGAAATGCCTCATCGGCGGTTTGGCGCTCCAAAAATGAAGAACGGCTCTCCAACAGATTTTTGCCCCGTTTGGATGCTATGACCGAGGTGAGCTGACTCGGGATCTGACTCACTGAGTGGCTCTCCAACTCAGCTCGATGAACAAACAGAACAAGCCAGCACCGAGTCGACTCTTTAGCTGCGGAGCCGGCTTGTTTAAATAATAATTTAAAAAATAGGCTTACATTATAGTGAAATTATATATATATTCTGC